AACTACGAATCCTGGTCTGCATCCTGGGCTGTCAGTGATTCCTTTCCGCCTTGGATATTGCACTTTGGAGCTGCACCATCCAAAGTGGGATGGATGCTGTCTCTTCCATAATTTAATGTAATACCTGTGGGATGAACTCAGTGGAATACAGACACAGAATTGCCAAATTCTTCCTTAGCCCTTTTGGCATATTTATTCAACCGGACCCCATAGAAAAGCATGTGCTCCTGACAGAGCGGGAGGTAGTGAAAAAAAACAACAGAAATGCACTGCCACGAGTCTTGCCGATCTCACAGCGACACACTGTGGCGAAACCAGACACTGCACCTCATCACAGTCACATAACCACACATCTTATTCATAACTGAGTACACAGGAATACGTCTCTTAACAGTTTTTGTCGATTCAGACCAAATGCATTTGACATGTCAGATATCTGTTGATCAAAGTGTCGACAAACTTGTCTGACAGGTTTCAGGCCTGTCTCTTGTGTACAATAACAGGTACAATCAAGAGAGGTATGTTGTCTTATTTGCTGTGATGAGAGAAAAAGTAGTTTTAAGGCGTTTAAACTAGAAAGTAGAGCTCAAAACAGAGCTTCTCCTAAAGCTTCCCTGATTGGCTGAGACTTTACACCCAGCTGCATAAATTAAGATTTTCTGACTTTAGTGTCTGCTTGTTTGGAAGGATGTGTTGAAATCTCAAAATACACTGAAACAGACACACAGACTTCACTACAGGGCCCCTAGATGGAGGTCCACCATTAACTTTGCATGAAAATGAGACATCCCTGAAGCTTTAATGATCGTAGGTCTGAACAAAGCATGAGAGGGAACAGTACAGCATCGGCACCGAGGGGACCCAACTGGCTGGGTGCAGTCATTGACTGAGCAAAATGCCTTTATTTTACAGCTGGCTGGTAAAGAGTCAAGGCCACCAAGCTGAATACGGTCTGATTTCAGTCAGTTGTTGAAAATCTACAGAATCTTTATTGGGAGTGGTGGCCTAGTGGTTACGACATAGAGCTGGAAATCCTGGGGTTGTGAGTCTGCTTTTTCTCATAGTAGCTTCATGAAATGGGAGCTGGCTCGGAGCTCGTCTGCCTGGCTGTGTGTTTCCTGGACGGGGCCGCCTGTGGAGCTGGTTGACAGTTGCCTTTTGCATCTATGCTTCTTTTTCTATGTCTGCTTCTGTCTCCTTGAACCCCAGTGGGCCTCAGCAGATGGCCGCTCACACTGAGCCTGGTTCTGCTGGAGGTTTCTTCCTGTTTATAGGAGTTTTTCCTCTCCACTGTCGCGACAAGCATGCTTAGTGTGAGGGATTGCTGGAGAGTCATTGAGTCGAGGCAATCAGCACCTTTTCCTTAGATAGAAAACTATGAATCAATCTGACTGGATGATCTGGTGAACTGGAAAGTGACCTGAGATGACATAATTGGTGCTATAGATATAAACTGAATAGAATGGAATGTAGTTGGAGCCCCACTCCCACAGCCTCCACTCTGGGTCCTTGAGCCAGACCCTTAACCCCACACTTGCACAATGGCAGCCCACTGCTCCCCAAGGGGATGGGTTAAATGCAAGGGGTGAATTTCTCCAATGTAGATCAATAAAGTAATATTTAAAAAGAAAAATCTTTAAAACATCTACACCAACAGTCTTAGAAGACGTTGTGCATCACATGTCCATCTGAAATCCATCATGTTTCCTGTTTTTGGGAAGAAGAGAGAACAGGTTGAAACACATAACTTTACCATTGATTCCCCCGGCTGAAAAGGAAATCAGAAAAATTATCCATAAAATAAAACCTTAAAGCAATGGAAAACTGGCTATGTTCTCATCTAATGAGTCATGCTCTATTTAGGAAGCCCAACAACCAGTCAGAGTTATTCCCAGATTGTTGTCCAGCAGCTACTCCTTAAATGGTTGTAATGTCAAGTTTAGACCTTCATAGATATGCATTTTGAAATGTTTGTGGAAGCCGGGTTCCCAGGTGGTGAATGGTCCTCACACCTAATTAAAACTGTTAAGGATCTGTTCTCTGTCTGTTGATGTGTTGCTAAGGGCAGGCTGCTTCCTGATTGGTCAGGCTAAGCCATTCAAACACAGCCAGGTTATCCTCTACTGGCTGCATGTGTGTGAAGTCACTGTTCCAGGTCCGTACGCTGCTCACAGCTTCATGCATTGTTTTCATCACAGACATGTTTTCTAGGGGAGGGCCTGGGTTTTTCCTACCCCCCGCCCAAGCACACACCTCCCCCCCTCTCACTGTTGCCTGTCACTACTCATAAAGGCAAGTGTGACTACATGAAGGGCTGTTATTTTGTTCTATAATTTATTTTGTTACACTGTAATTTAACACACAATATGAGTTCAAGTAAATTGGTTTCCTTCTATTGAGCAGGATTCTACTGCAGATAAACTTTCTCACATGGTGAAAAATGTTTCTGCAGATCTTATTTTACCCTCCTGGGTGATTTCCATAATCCTCCCTATGTGAGTGTGTGAATGGTTGTTTGTCCTGTTTGTCTCTGCAATAGACTGGAGACCTGCACCAGCACCCTTCGTTCCCCCAGCAACCTCATAAGAACAAATTTGGCAAAATACTATTTCTTTTAATTTTATAGTGAAAATGTCATTTTCTGCCTGTCTGCTGCAGCTGTAATCAGCTGATCATCGCCTCCACCTTAGACCATTGCTGTGCTCCACAGCGCTGATTAGTCAGGCTTCTCTCTTTCAGTTTGCTGGGATCAGAAATGAATATACAAAGCATGAAAGGTTATGGAAAATCGTGCAGACACAAACTGATTTCTCTTTGATTAATGTCAACAGCTTCAAATTCAGTATGAGCAACACTCCATAGCTTCATTAGAAGCCTCCTCTGGAAAGCTGAGGATGTCTGTCATCTGGACTCCTGGCTGGAAAAAATAGCATAAAAAGGAGAACTACTGATTTATAAAACCGTTCAGCTAGTTATTAAACTGCCAATCACCAGCACTACTTTGGGTCTAGATAGAGAATCTTTACCCCAACATCAGACCAATTCTGACCAATTCCAAGATAAATGTGCTGCTGTCTGGACATGGAAACTCTGCCGAGGCGCTCTGAGAGGACTGTGGTATCCAGTGGTTTCTAGGATCAGTGATGTGTTTAAAATGAAGACAGAAAATGAAGGATTTTCTCTCAACTGTCTTCATGTCTGCATGCTGTAAAAATGTGCGTCCTTTTAAATAGTTTCTTATATGGAGTGAAGGCCAAACATTTCTGCGTCGTTTTATTTTTAGACTTTCGGCTGCCTCGAGTGATGTTATTCTTTTGAAAATAGATACAGAAATTATGTTAGACACTTTAAGAAGCAAAGAAAGTGAGAACTTCATGATTGACCTGAGCTGAGGTGGAGTTTCATGTTGAAAACATTAAAATCATTCCACTCAGTTAAACTGGTGTTTAATTAGCTTTTAAGTCTTGGGTTTTTTGATTTCGGCTTTTTTACCTGAGGCTTTTTTACCCATCTGAGTAGAAAACAATAAAACACAGAAAACCAAAGACTAAGATGTTCCTGCTTCCGTCACCAGATCAATAGCAAAAACAACAGGTAATAAAAAAGAAAAGAGAATGAAAGAATGTTGGAGTCTGACACACTGGACAGCAAATGATGTTTTTCTGGGCGCTCCCAGGTTTGGTCTCATCAGTTCCCATTTAATGCCATCTTTTTTTTTTTTTTTTTTTAAACCAGTTAGCCTAAATGCAATTCAAAGAGAGACGGTTGAACCCTGGATTAAAGGTGCAGTAGGAGATCTTGGAAAAACGGTTCCAGCGAGCTATTTTTTTTAACATACACAACCCTGCCTCGCCCTTCAGACCACCCCTGAAAACCACGCCTTCAGAACACATGAACGCTCCGCAGAGCGCTATGATCACTCCTCTGAAACAGTTTATGAACTCCTAAATTAACTGAAAATGCCAAAATCTACCGGCAAAACATGTTCACTTTTATTATCCTGGTGCCTGCAGTTGCACCTGTTGCATCGTTGTCTGTTAGATGTTAAAAATCTGTTTTTTCAACAGGGCAAAAAATTCAATTTCCAATTCTATTCAGTGTATTTCTATAGCTCCAATTCACATCACACCATCTCAGGTCACTTTATAGATCCAGATCAACCAGATCATCCAGTCAGATTGATTCAAAGTTTTCTATCTAAGGGAAACCAGCTGATTGCATCGACTCATTGACTTTTCAGCAATCCCTCACACTAAAAATGCTGATAGCGACAGTGGAGACGTTTAGATCCAGTGAAATATGGAGCGGTTCTGTTCCATGGATCTATAACACCTGGAACCTGTCTGGATCGGGTCGAGTGTCTGATCCGATACCTGGATCGGGTCAGGATTCTGATCCGGTACCTGGAACCTGTCTGGATCGGGTGTCTGATCCGGTACCTGGAACCTGTCTGGATCGGGTCGGGTGTCTGATCCGGTACCTGGAAACTCTCTGGATCGGATCAGGTGTCTGATCCGGTACCTGGAACCTGTCTGGATCAGGTGTCTGATCCGGTACCTGGAACCTGTCTGGATCGGGTTGGGATTCAGATCCAAAACCTGGATCCGGTCGGGATTGTGATCCGGTACCTGGAACCTGTCTGGATCGGGTCAGGTGTCTGATCCGGTACCCAGATCCTGTCTGGATCGGGTCAGGATTCTGAGCCGGTACCTGGATCGTGTCGGGTGTCTGATCCAGAACATTTCTGTGCAAGACGGAGCGCGGTTGTGATCTCCATGTTGAAGCAGCCGAGGGATCAGAACGGGTTTTGCTGCGGTTGGTTCTGGCAGTCAGCCCATGCTTTGTCTGTGGGGTTGGGCCTCGGCCCGGCCCCTCAGGGCACCATGTGCTGCAGCAGATTAGCTGGCCTGTCAGATAAAGAGGCAGGCCTCTGATAAAGTCTTTTTTTTGGGGGGGGGGGGGGGGGGGGGGGGGGGGGTCGGTGAATCCGGCTGGGGGCAGCACAGTCAGAGGCAGCCCTCAGACAATGGCAGCAGCTGTAACTAAGCCCTGATGGAGGCGGCTCCTCTGCTTCTGCCTCAGCGGAGTGTTGGGGCCAAAGGCTCCCTGGCAGCAGCAGCAGAGCCGATGCTGAGCAGATGATGAAAGCTGCTGGTTCAACCCCTTCTATGTCGCCCACATGCAGAGGACCCTGCTGCACCCCATGGACCCCGTGGGATTATTCTGTGGTTCTGCTTCTTTGGGAGTTTGGACCTTTTGAAGGTTGATGTTTCTGAATGTCAGTCTGATCCGCTGGTGGAGAAATGTGGAAGTTGAAAGCGTTTTGTTTGGATTACTGGCAGTTCCTGTGTCTCCATCCTCTGCATGCTTTCTATAAAAGGTAAGATCCCACAGCTTGTCTGCTTTGGTTCAGCCTAAACCTGAAAGCAAGGACGTGCATTAGAGCAAGGGACAGGGACCCAGGTGGCCCCGCCCCCACGTGCTGAGAGGGGCCAGCTGGGGACAAAGGTCTGTGTGTCAGGGAGGTCATGTGTTGTGAATAGGGCAGCTATTGTCCTGCTTTGCTCTGTGCAGCCCCTCTGGCTGAGTTCAGGTTGGGACGCTGCTCTCAGCTATCGCTGCTCTCTGGTGCCGCCGCCGTCCCATTAGGGACTGGATCTCTCTGTCTGCAGGTCTGGTCTCAGGTTTAGGTTTCCAGGCAAACATGTCTGCTTTACATTCTGTGGTTTTCCTTCCTTCAGTTGAAAAAAAGGAATTTGGTTCTGATGGTTTTTACCAACATGCTGCACAGCAAAACTGTTGGAACCTGCAAAGAATCAAATAGAAAAAATGATGCTGTTATATTTCAGGCCCTCCTGATGGGTTCTCAAGTCTAGGAACATCTGGAAGGCAGGTTATGCACCAAGTCTCTTGGTTTCCATCCTAGAGAACATGGTCACCGACTGACTGACCCTGAAAAGGCAAACAAGCAGCAGGACCCACTGAGACGTCAGAGTAAACCGCCTGGGTTTCTGTTTCCTCTCATTCTATTTAGTTTATTTCTACAGAGTGTCATCTCAAGGCATCTATCAGAGAAAATTCAACCAGATCATCCAGTCAGATTGGTTCGACCAGGCAGGGATTGGCTTTAAGCTTCACTGATTTATTGAAGGAAAAAAAAACATTTTTATCACCAATTCTGATCAGAAACCCATTTCTCTCAATGATAAATACAATATTAGAATGAGTGGGGGCATTAAACCCAAACTACACGGACCTATTTTAGCTTCATTTCAGCTGACATGGTGTTGATCAGTTGTTGAGTTTTTGGAAAGGAAACATGCAGATTTAAAGTGAAGATTAATGAAAAATAAACCTCAATTAATTACTGAAACTTGTCCTGCTTTTGGATCCAATTCAAATAATAGTTGAATGAATGATTTGGCCGCAGAAGTTCTACTATAATGTACTCTGCAGGAATAACCCGCCGCTCACCAGAGTAAAACAAATCCTGGACTTTCAGGAGGAAAAGAGGTTCAATCATAAACGTTAACCTTTCACTTCCACTCAACTCTTGATTTATTTTTAGCAGAGTTTTTTCTTTTTGCTGTAAATGGAGGAGAAAATTATAAATATCAGGAGAAGCGAATTGACTTTGGGCCCATCCTGGCATTGAGGACGGAAGAATGAAGAGAGGGAGCTTTCATCACACAGTCCTGTCGGCCACTAGGAGCTAAAAAGTTTCCCAGAATCCTTTGTGTGACATAAAGCCAATTATTTTGTCGCTGTCTTCTTCAGAGGTTTGTGTTTTAGAACAGCTTCAGATGTTCAGTATATTTGAGGAACTTTGTTTTTTGTAGTTCTTATTCTGGAGCCTGTGGTCCCAATCCGAGCAGCAGCATCCAGGTGAGGGTGGAGACTGACTGGCTTAAACACAGCAGTCTGAATGGTGTCTGTAGTGTGGACCCTGTGGAAGGAGATGGAACCTAATCGTGATGCTGAGGTCGTTAGAAGGAGAAGACTCTTTGTTTTCAGTCATCAAAGGGGATATGGGATTATGCAAATGGGCATAGTCTGTTAAAGCCACCCTCCCCCATCCTCTATGGATGATTACTGACACACCGTAATATTTCACTGTTTGGAGCTCTGTCTCCTCTGCAAAGCTCCTTGATACCTGCTGTGTTTTAACTATCATGGCATTTTACCAGTTGATCCTGACGTGGATTAGTACATGGGAATTTTAATAAGATTTATGTTTAATGTGTTGACCATATTAAATAACTTCATATAGCTTGCCATATTATCTGTCTGTCTATGAACTAGACAGACAGATGGACAGACAGACACTATCAGAGATCTGATTGTTCCTTATGTTCCTAACAGAGCACTTCGCTCTCAATCTGCAGGTTTACTAGTGGTTCCTAGAATTTCTAAAAGTAGAATGGGAGGCAGATCTTTTAGTTATCAGGCTCCTCTCCTGTGGAACCAACTACCAGTTTTAGTCCGTGAGGCAGACACCCTGTCTACTTTTAAGGCTAGGCTTAAAACTTTCCTTTTTGATAAAGCTTCTAGTTAGAGTGGCTCAGGTTATCCTGAGCTATCTCTATAGTTCTGCTGCTATAGGCTTAGACTGCTGGAGGACATAGGGACCCCTTTTTCATCATTCTGCTTCATTCTATCTCTATTCTCCCACTCTGCAGAATCTGTTAGTTCAATCTCTAACATTCTGCTCTCTCTGCTTTTTCTCATAGTAGCTTCATCTGGTCTGTTCCTGTTTGGCTGGGACTCCATCCTGGAGAGAAATATCAGCTGTGCTGCTGCCATCAACACCTTTGTTTCTAGATGTTGGAGCTCTCATAACTCTGGGCTCAGTTTTTACTGGGACTAACTGGATCTTCTCTCTTTCTTTCTCTGACATGGAAACTGGCTCAGAGCTCGTCTGCCTAAAGGGCTGGTTATCCTCCCGCAGCAGTGTGTCGCAGTAAGCTTGTCGCAGGTATGACGCAGATATTTTTGATTTATGCCCAATTTTGAAGCGTGGTCTGCGCTTTGTTGTTCCACGCTACAAACCAAGAGGGATAATCAGGAACTAGGTAGTATTGTGGGTGTCCTTGTTTTGGTCTGACCAGCTTGTTCGCCGTCTACAACCCTTCATCCAACGCAGGATGCCACACAGTTCCCCGGTGAGTGTTCCCCAAAGACTGGCCATGGCGCTGCATGTTTTGGCTTTGGGTGCAAACCAACAGACCGTCGCACAGAGCTACAAACTAGCGTCCCGCCAGTGTCTGGTATAGTGTCCGAGGTGTGCCAGGAGTTGTGGATGGCACTACAGCCAGAGTTTCTGCCATTAGGTACCAAACAGGAAATACTCATAGTGTAGGGTGAGAGGGTATCTCTGCTTTAACTGCGAGACACACACAGTTAAAGCAGATATACCCTCTGACACAGAATATTGGCCCGATCCAGGTATCGGATCAGAATCCCAACCCGATCCAGACAGGTTCCGTTTTCTGGGGGAACAGATCCTGATCTGTTCAGATTTTTCACTTCTGTCTCTTTAGCTCATTAATTGAAACAATGGCCTACATCTGACTGGGGCAGATTAATAAAAGTGAAAAAAAGAAAATAATAATAATAATTTAGAAAAAAAACCTACAAAGGAAAGCCCCACTCCACTACCGGCCAGTGCAGAATGGTCTTAATTTGACAAAATAATAGGTCTTAGTACTTATATTAAATATATACTACATTTAAAGAAAAGGGAAAGTCAGCAACAAAAGCTGTGAGATGGTTAAAGGTGTGGAGGGTGATGCAGGCAAAGCAATATTTGATGCTTGCTTTTATTTTTCATAAGGGGGGGAGAGTGACCAGCTGCTCCACCGTCCTGCATCATCCGTCATTGTTCTGGTTTTTGTGAGGCTCAAAGAGGATCAATATTTGATCAGTTTTCTGTCCATCGGACACTGGTTGTAGACTGCTGCATGCCATGGTAACCCCCCATCTGACACTGGTTATAGACCGTCCCATGCCATTGTAACCCCCCCATCTGACACTGGTTATAGACTTCACCATGCCATGGTAACCCCCGTCTGATACTGGTTATAGACTGCTGCATGCAATGGTAACCCCCCATCTGACACTGGTTGCAGATTGCCCCATGCCATGGTAACCCCCCAATCCGACACTGTTTATAGAATGCTCCAAGCCATGGTAACTCCCCATCTGACACTGGTTATTGACTTCCCTATGCCATGGTCACCCACCATCTGACACTGGTTATAAGCTGCTGCATGCCATTGGAACTCACCATCTGACACTAGTTATAGACTGCTGCATGTCATGGTAACTCATCATCTGACACTTGGTATAGACTGTTGCATGTCATGGTAACTCATCATCTGACACTGGTTATAGACTGCTGCATGTCATGGTAACTCATCATCTGACACTGGTTATAGACTACTGCATGCCAAGGTAACCGACCATCTGACACTAGTTATAGACATCCTCATGCTTTGGTAACTGAACATCTGACACTGGTTATAGACTGCCCCATGCCATTGTATCCCACCATCTGACACTGGTTATAGACTGCTGCATGCCATGGTTTATTACCATCGGACACCTGTTGTAGACTGCTGCATGCCATGGTAAGCCCCCATCTGACATTGGTTATAGACTTCACCATGCCATGGTAACCCCCATCTAATACTGGTTATAGACTGCTGCATGCCACGGTAAATAGCCATCTTAAACCTGTTGTAGACTGCTGCATGCCATGGTAGCCCCTCATCTGATCCTAGCTTTAGACTGCCCATGCCATGGTAACCCCCCAATCCGACACTGTTTATAGAATGCTCCAAGCCATGGTAACCCCCCATCTGACAGTGGTTATAGACTTCTACATGCCATTGGAACTCACAATCTGACACTGGTTATAGACTTCTTCATGCCACGGTAACCCCCATCTGACAGTGGTTATAGACTGCTGCATACCACGGTAAATAGCTATCTGATACCTGTTGTAGACTGCTGCACGCCATTGTAACACCCATCTGACACTGGTTACAGACATCCCCTTACCATGGTAACCCTCCATTTGACACGGGTTATAGACTGCTGCATGCCATGGTTTATTACCATCGGACACCTGTTGTAGACTGCTGCATGCCATTTTAACCCCCAAATCTGACAGTGGTTATAGACTGCTGCATACCACGGTAAATAGCTATCTGATACCTGTTGTAGACTGCTGCACGCCATTGTAACACCCATCTGACACTGGTTACAGACATCCCCTTACCATGGTAACCCTCCATTTGACACGGGTTATAGACTGCTGCATGCCATGGTTTATTACCATCGGACACCTGTTGTAGACTGCTGCATGCCATTTTAACC